TCTTATAACTATAATCATATAAAATTATATATAATTATATAAAAAATATTTTATATACAATTATAATAATTATATACATAAAATATGTCTATTTATATAACATTTTTTCCCCGGTATTCATTTTATAGCTAGCATTAACGCAAAAAAACTTCTCACTATGAGCAGTATTAAATTGTACAACAAACCTAAGACATACTTTTCATTTCTTCGTCACCATTTTCATACGTGTTAAAGAAAGAAAAAGAGAGAGAAAGAGAGAGAGAGAGAGAGAGAGAGAGAAGGGGAGAGAGATAATTAAATAATTAAACATTAATTCTTTCTACCCCTCTTTCTCTACATGTCCCTTCATCATGAGAATTTGCAAAAAGTTTTATTGGTCAAAATATAACGGACTTTCTTCAATGTCCATATACATTTGGCGCTGTTTACGTAAAGTATAATACATAGGTAGTTCATTCTCGTAAAATTCGAGAAAATTCATGAGATTATTCTCTAATTCTTGATGATAAATCGAGCCAGCGTATTTAGATTCGATGTAATTTTGATCTTTTTCGGATATCTGCACAAAGAAAGAATTTTGAGCTTTTTCATTTAAGTCGTAATTATTAATCAATGTTTTGTCCTTTTACTTTCGAAAGGATCATACATTTACAACGTTCTTCATAAACTCATAAGTAAAATTACTCACTGTTTTCCATTTTGATTCGATTAACGTGTTAATGCAATCATCGTCTAAAGAATTGTCATAAATGTCCTATATGTTGAGAAAATATGCTTGTAATAAATATCGACATGCATATACGATATTGAAATGCAAGCGTCTTACCGTTCGCGACAGCAAAGTAGCCCGATTTTCGACGCGCAGACAATCGAATCTATCATGGAGAATCGCCGCGGCCCAAGGTTCACGAAAATACGCGTAGAAATCTGAGATTTCTAAATTCTGAGGAAAAATTATTTTAAAAAGGCGAGACATTTACACGCGCACGTATTAAGTGATAAACCCTGAAATACGTATGACATCGCTTTTTAATATTTCAATACTGTATCGTTAGGCTCTTACTCGAAAACGGAATTTCAATTCGTTTAACATGCTCTCGTGTTTCCCATATAAAACAATCATGTCCTGCACTCGAAATGTCTGAAAAAACAATTGTCGTTACGTTAAGACGAAGTAGCGTCTGTTCCGAGTCGCAAGACGAATGTCCCGCGTGACACATAAAATTTTTCTAGAGCAATCGTTGAGTATTGTTTGTCTAATTAGTTTCAGAACTCTACCTTTCTGCTTACGCAGGTTACACTTTCCACAGTGTCGTACATATTCAATCGGATGCGAAAATATCCAATTTCAGATTTGCAAGAACCGGTTATAAATGTATTTCCCTGGAAAAAAATCAACGTCAATGCAACGACTTATGTCTTACACAGATTGAAGGAGAAGGAAAGAGAGAAAACCAAAAACAAAGAGCCTCTTTCAATAACGTTATTTGCATTTCGATGCAAAAAACCGATTCGACTGTTAACTCACGTAATTATTGTGATTGATCTTCGTCGTGTTATCCCAAGTTGCTTTTCCAGGTTTACATACATGCAAGTAATGATAATCACCTGGCAAAATGCAAGCGGTTACGATAGGTGCACGGAATATCGATGGTGTCAAATGCATGACCTCTTTCTTTTTTGATACTTGCTCGGAAACTTGCACGTCCCACTCAATCACTTTCCATAAAATTTGACCGAGCTTCCGATGCACGGCGGGAAAATGGAAAGAAGTACAAGTATATTATGAGTTTGATAATAAAAAGATAACTAGTTTAATTTGAAATAGATGAGTTTGATTGAAAAAGATACTGTATGTCTCCTTAAAAAAAAAAAAAATCTCTTTTTTTACTAACTCTCTCTCCAACTTCCATGCTATTGTAATATTTGTGCTGCCAGACGTCGGCATAAAATTTTCGGGAATATTTCGTCATGGTACCAGCGGCGAAAATAAACGGATCGTTGGTGCGACATTCCGAGTCTATTATTAATGAACCATCGAAAACGAGACCAGCTCGACAGAACGCTGAAACGATATAAATTATGACTGGTATTAATAGTCGATTCTTATATTTGAGGTTGCTCAAGTACAATCTTAAAATGTCATAAACCAATCAGAGGGCCGTATTAGCGTCTTAAGACATTACTTAAGATTTAATACGGTATTAAAATAAAAACCGACTATGAATACCGGCCTATGTGAGAGATTGAATTTTCGATATATATTAAACGCAATTTTAAACGTAATTGAAAATGAATTAGAAATTAGGATGATGTATTCACGCGTGTCTCTTTTACCTAAAAACGTCGTTTTCGCGTACAAATTCAACAGAGCGTCGCAAGTCAACTTTTTCTTTTCTTCCTCCTTTTCAATCGTAATACTCTTGATCATGATGAGCTTTGCATCAGAGCTTTGCTCGTTTTCCGTCAGAGTCCAATCGATCACGGTCCATTCGGAAAAAACTTGAACTCCACTTCGTAAAATGGCATCTGTCACCACTTTGTTCACCTTAGATAGGTAAACACACAATATTACTGTAATGTCTCTTTTATCGTAATAGTACGAATTATTTTATCGTGATATATACATAATCATACTTCGTAATCATGAAAGAAAGCTTGGTCGCGTGTATTGTAAGATTTGAAAGAGCTCGGCTCAATCAACGTGATCCATGAAGGCTCTACTCCAAGCTTGATTAAACCACCAAGTGTACAGTAGCAATCGATATTACATCCGTAAAATAATATCGCTTCTGTAGAGTGTTAAATATTGAAACAGTATAAAGTAACAATTTTACTAAATCGCTGCACCTACTCCTTTCTTTAAAATCTCTTGTTAACTTTCGAATCTTTCCGAAGCAAGTGGAAGCTTCCTTATCGTTGTTTACGGTCAGACAATTCCATGGCATTTGGTCTTGTACCTCGTTTTTTCTTGAAAAATAAACATAACGTGTAACGTACCCTATTCTCTTGCGTCGGGCAATGAAGTGTTCAGAGTGATTTATATTACGGACTGCATTATATGTTTTATACATATACTATAATATATTATAAATCTTTACTCTTGCTTTTCCATTTTTATTTCCTCCCATAATGTCGAGTTTTGATATTGTAAGCCACACGTTAAAATCAAATAATCGTACGCGATATTTCCTTGATTCATCACAGTCACATATTTCTCCACCCTAACGTAAGAAAATTCGAATCGATTGTCACTTCGTCAACATTGCTAGATTAATTCGAATTATTAAAATTGTTGATGGATAGTGCCGTATGTCTATCAACATATGAAAGACTACCTGTCGATCGCTGCCATAGTTCCGTAGATGATGTTAAGCCAAGTCCGTGCGACTACATAGCGACGATATCCCGAGTGAAACCTTCCTCTGAATGGAAGCAAATATTCGCAACAGTCTGAACTCGATTCGTTATCAAATGGTATACCATTTGGCGATATTAACGTAAGATTTGTCAATTGCCTATAACGCTGCGTTAATCTACAGTTTGATCAATATTGAGAATAATTAGGAGAAAAAACGTATATATTATATCCTTGGATATTTTTGAAACGTTATATTATATAAGATAATATAAAGAAATATTAGGTGTACAAACAAGTTTCCGCCATTTGACAAAAGACGGTGCCACTAGCAAGCTATGGTTAAAATTGTCTGATGTAAAACATTATATCGTAAGGTTGGACATCTGTCAACAACATAACCTTGAAATACTAGCGATTTTGTATCAGCATCATATATTTTTTTTGTGCGAAAATGCCCAGTTTTGTGCCGAATAAGCGTCATTTGCGGGAACTTTTGATTTACTTCTTTAATTTGAAGAAATCTGCAGCTGAGGCTCATCGATTGCTTGTAGAAGCATATGGTGAGGCTGCCTTAAGTGAGAGAAGTTGTCGTGAATGGTTTCAAAAATTTAAGAACGGTGAATTTGACGTCGAAGACAAAGAACGTAGCGGAAGGCCGAAAGTGTACGAAGACGCGGGATTGGAAGCATTATTGAATGAAGATTCGTGCCAAACGTAAAAAGAACTTGCACTTACATTTTGATTTACATCAATAAAACATTATGTATCGTTCTTTCACAATAAATGCTTAATTTTTGATAAAAAACGGCGGAAACTTATTTGTACACCTAATATATCGCTTGGTAAGCTTTGTATCATCAACACGGAACATACTGCAGGTGTTATAGTTGAAAACATTTTACCGTAAACTCAGATATTCCGCGAAAGCAATTCCGCAGTCGGATGCTCCAACGACAACGATCCTCGTATCGATAATTGTACGTGGCATCATGGCTAGTCTCGGTGACGTCATAAATAGAGAAAATTCATCGTTCGCAACATCATTTCCTTCACATTTTGTATTATTTTCAGAGCTATTAAAGTTTTCCTGAACAATCGGAAATTCATATTCAGCTTGTCTACGGGGATCAACCGGAATCATATCGTTCAAACAGGATACCAAAGGATATATCCACGTCTACAAGTAACGTACACGATGATAGTTAGGCTCTAATAATTTTCCTACCGACTAAACAGTTTTAGCTTTCATTTGTAATACAATATATAATTATATAATATATGTACAATATTATAGATGCGTTCGAGGAGACGCTATTAGCTATTTGTGTCATTCTATTTCCATTGTTTATCATAAAACAAGGATAAAATGATAAAAGGACTAATAGCGTCTTCCCGGATGCACCTTAAATATTATAGGACCATATATGTGAAAAGCACAATCTATAGAAATCAATGCCTTGGTTTAGCTGGATCTTAAGTGGTTGCATGATTCTGTGTGAATTTATATACTACATAGTCCTTTAAAATGCACGCCGAAATGATTTTTTATATAATATATAATTTTGTGGGATGAGATGAAAATTCGATGTTCTTACTTACTAGAAATATAACTTGTTATTGTGTATACTATTGTTACAGCTTACCGAGTTTCCAGTCTCATCTTTGTGATGAAGCCGATAAAAGATTACCGTTAAGTCGCTTAAACGTGCGAGCTCGCGGAAGAAGAAGCGATGGTAAGCGGAAAAAATTGGCATAAGAACAAAATGCAAGAGACGTCCGTAATTATTTTGAGGAATACTCTGCACAGATACGTAGTCCTCTATATGATAATGATTCGTAACGAAATTTACCTGCCTCTCGGCGCTACAACATAAAGTAAAGAAAACTTGGATATTTGAATATCGTTCACAATATAAGAAATACAAGAGGAATGTACGTAATAACCACAGTATAGCGAGCCCCAGTATTATATCGTTACTTTCAAAGATGAAACAATCACGCTGTACAGCCTGTAAAGGATCCATAGCAAAATCAAAATCAGCCAAGACCTCGTATTTTGTTGATGTAATGAACAAGAGTCTCTCTATAGCTTCACGATCTTGTGTTCGCGCACGGCGACATCTCATCTCCTCGTGAACAACCGCTCGGTGCAGAACGTACAGCGTCATAGGGAAATCTCTATTACATCTCAACGGTACGCGCTGCATTTTCATTTTTTATTTTTCTTGTTATTAATTGTGAGATTAAAAAGAGAAATGTTCCTAAAGTTCCTTTTATCTTATTGGATGTCCCGAATTTAAATAGCTAAACTTCGGGTACGTGTATGTAGAAGAGATCGATAAACTAAGAAAAAAAGTCCTTTAGAAATATCGTTCTTGCTTCGTTTTGGATAAAATCGCAAAAACGGCAAAACGTAGTTTACATTTTTGTACTTTTTATTCACACTTATTTATTCACTATGTTTTGTCACTTGCTTAATACAGATTGTTCAAAATGTTGACCTCTTGCAGCAATGCATCTTGTTCGTGTGTAGCCAAATACTGATCAATATAGAGAGCTTTCCAGCAGAGGCACAAATCAACACGAGAATCATTCTGTCTTTGTTTCTTACTGATTATCGAACAAGGACAGGATGATTTTTGTTTCAATTGTGTCTCTTCAATTTGTGTCTCTTGCTGGAAAAGTCCCAAAATGACTCCGGCACTCTTCTGTCTGGAAACGCTTTTTCTTCAAAACGAAGCAAAAACGAGCATATCTCTAAAGGACTTCTTTTTTTAGTTCATCAATTCTCTAGACACTTCCGAAGTTTGGTCATTTAAAATTGGTACACTCTCTACACTCAAGCAATCGAAATATCTCATTGGTTAATTTATAATACTTCACCACAAAATGTTGAAGGAATTGATAGCACGGGTGTTCGAAAGGAAGAAGAATCACGCAGTACTCTAAATGCGGGAAGCAATCGAAAGCAGCCTCCAAGAAATCGTGGGACCAGTGAGGTCTCATTTCATTGCGTGTCGCAAACACCTCCAAAACGAAGGCATTTATTTCGCCATCCGGCGTTCGCGTCGGAAAAACATGATGAACGAATTGAGATTGCATCGTCTCGTTATGTCCAACAGTACGATCATTTTCCCGCGATTTTTTTAAACCATTGTATGGCATTAATTCGAAATTCTCGTTAAGCAGATCGATGTTGATCGTAGCGTTGAGATACATGACACCCACTGTCGAGCCTTTGGTATTCTCTCCGATGATCAATTGACGACAACTGTTCGGATGATGAATCATCTTATTAATATAATGCTCTCCATGAAGCTTCTTTAGACGTGTACCCTCATCGCCGATAATCTCAATCACGTCGTCGTGATCCTCCTCTCTGTATATATATCATCAAGTATACGATACCGAGTTGTTTAGAAGAAATTTCAGAAAGTATCAATCGCAAATGAAATAGACTCACACGACTCTCCGTATTTTCAACTTTGGACGTAATCGATGTCGATTAGTCAGATAGAGAAATTGCAGCGTGACGTCTCGCACGACAGTTTTGGGTAAGACTTTAGTCATCTCTTGCTCGAACACGCTCAAATGCACTGAGAACACAAGTCAAGATATGAGGCCTATTCTTTTTAGCTGAACTTCTCACGGTTCGTCTTTTCTCTTTTTTTCTTCAACGTGAGGAGAAAAGGAGGAAAGATGAACTGTGCAAGAACTTTAGCTAAAAAGAACAGATCTAGTAACGTCTTTCTACCGACGTAAAAAGTTTAAAGCAGAATCGATGGATGATTTGATAAAAAAGCGATCACCTGGTTCAACTTGGGATGGAATTACGAGAACCACGTATTGGCAAAAGGTAGTGTTGTCGAACACCGCAGTCAATAGCTCTCCAAGAAACTCGTTCGAATAGAGCTCATCCCATACGAGTAAGTGTATGAACATTGTGTTCCGTTCCGTGGCAGCGGGAATCCTTTTTGAAAGATGCTACTCTCATAAACTCGCCTAACATATATAAGACACTGACTCGTATCGTAAAGTCATATTAACTTTACTACGATCGACGCAAACAGAAGATTACCCGTAAATTGTTTTTAACCAGGTCAACCAATCGTCCGGCGACACGGACAGTATATTGGGGTAATTGCAGAGGCATATCCCCGAAATGACGTCACGTCTCTCGTTGTATTGGACCACTGAGAGGCAGGAAGTCTCGCTGCAAATTTTATGTAACGGTACATCAAGGTGCACGCGCACAGGAGGAAGCGCACCGATTTTCGATTTAATATAATATTGCTAACATTATATATAATATTATATATTATATTATATTAATATATATAGAGAAAAGCCCCCTATTAATGAGCGCCCCCTATTAATGGGCGCCTAATATGAGATAATTGAAAACTATTTAGTAGAAAATTCATTATTAGATCATGCCTGTAGTCATTGTAAAACAAGATTTTAGAATTTGGATGTCTTCAAGTTTCATTGAGATGAGCATTTAAACCTTGTTTATTATAATAAATATTTATTATTAAACAGGTTTAATAAAAAATAAATATTTGACAATAAATTCTTCATGTAGTGATAGAGTAAGGTCGTATTAATAGAAAAATACGGGATATGTTGAATTGTTCAATTACAGAAGTTAGATTTGATAATCGTAAAACCATAAGACGTGGAAATCGTAATGTTAGATATCCAGAGTATTCCTAATATGAAATAATCCATGCTCCTATGTTATAGTGAAAATCGTTGCTAAAGTATAAATGTTATTGTACAATAATAAAAAACAACCGGAATGAACGTCGAGTGCTTATATAGCATCTGCGATGCTTGATTCTAATTACTTAAAAACGTGTTCTGGATATAATCTATCGTATGCTCATTTTTCCCGCACGCTAGCTGTGTTTGTTCGCATTTTAGAAACCTTAAATAAAGTTTTTTAATTGTAATACTGATATACTTTGCGTTTTACTATTGATTTCTCGGAGCATCTCATATTAGGAGCACAATTTTTTGACTTTGCGATTTGCTCACTTTTTACATTTCTTTAATTTAAAAAAAATTGAATTTCAATTAAATTTTATGTAACGTTATCTTAAAGTTTATTAAATTCCCTTCAAAATGGCCTATTATTTCTTTAAATTCTGTCTATAGACTTCTAGCATTTACCCAAAATGAACTCGGTGTCTCATAATGGGGGTCTTTCCTCTATGTATATATAATGAGAGCAAGTTCTCCAAATGCGAGTGCGCATATAAAGTAACTGCATGTATGGCTGCAAATACTAGAGTTGTTCCAATTTCACATCCCCGAAAATTTCGTGAGTCGTCGGACGTATCAGGAGCTTTAAACGCGATAAATCCGAATGTTGAACGCGACGCGATCCCGAGATTTTGCTAGGCTCTTTTAACTCTTCGGACTCGTCGACGTAAGTTGTCATTTTGGAAGCTTGTTGGCTCACGACATGCGGATCTTGATGTGGACGTGTCATATGCCGTTCGGCAATTTTCAATCGATCGCGAGTCGCAATCGATTATTCTCATCGAATAGTTTTCGATATATTTTACACTTTAAATTTAAACAATAATGCCTATTCATTTTTCCGTCATTCTAAAGCGTTTGCTCGTTATCGCGAACAGACCTACAGCGACTGAGTTCGAACTCGGTTGATCGACGATTGCCAACAATCGGAGCGAGCTGTTTATGGGAGAGGAAGTCGAGGAATCAATCGGAATTACCATCTTGGATGTCAACTTAACGTGGGAAAAGAATATCGTGTGCAATACCAACCGACTTGATACTCGCGCAAAAAGAAGGTCATGTATGTGTGTTTGTATGCGTGAAACTCTTTCAACGATCTAAACGGAGTTAGACGCCAAGCTTCGCTTCCTCATCTCCTCTTAAATTGCCTCTCGCCTTTCGCCTTCTCTGCTTCTTTGGCTCTTGCGTTAAAAGAGTAACAATCATAGACAGTCGCCGTGCAAGTGTCACGTCAAACGTATAATGTACGTACAACTGAACGATCCACAGCAAAAACGGGGAATTCATTTGAACGATCATTCATCCATCATTCCAATCTGCTAGACTTTATTATTGATCGATGTCTACAGTTATAGATTATCATAGATGTAACCGCGATAACGGAACGCGATATGATGCATTGTATTGGCCAAGCACAGACTCCAAGAAAAGAAAGAAAAATTGGTACGAGCACTTTACAATGGTAAATAGCGGAAGCTATTTACAGTGCGCATCGCGTACGGTATGCGTATAATTACGTGTACGTGTAGTGCAACGAATGTGCTACTCGAGTGAGGACATAACGCGACATTACGCGAACATGCGGAAATTGATATCGATCGTCGGTACATTGTCATGTCTTCAACGTTTCTTTTTTCCAAACTGAATCATTTGATCGAGTTGATACCGTTTCAGACATCTTTCCTTTCTTTCATTCCTGTGCATGAATCGATCACGTCAGCCTAAACTTTGCATCGAACCGAATCACGATGTGTATGTACATATATACACTGAGAATAAAATATAGACAATTTTAATAAATATTCAATACTGTTCAATACTGCCAACTAAATATTTACTTACAGTAAATAAATATTTATTCAGTAAAAAAAAATTGTTAAATCAAATTAACATTTCTGATATCGAATAAATATATATCTTTATATTTAATAAATATTTAGTAGGCAAGTATTCAACTAAATATTTATTAAAATTGACTATATTTTTTTTTCAGTGTATATATCTATTATCTATATGATTCGATTTTCGAAAATTCGAAACGCGTAAAATTATACAGTAGAAGAGTCAGTCAATGACGGAAGATTCGAGTTTTACTAAACAAGTTCTATAATTCTGCGGAAATAATAAATCTATTTTTTTCTCATTGGTTGCCAGGGATGTTTTACCAAATCGCATCGATTCCCGACCACATCTTTAACGACTCTCACGATGGTTCCGAAGGTATTAAGATAATGACTTTCGTCATGCAACATGGAATCACGATGTGAGATATCAAATAACTAAGGTGCGTCTCTCGATTCTACGAAGATGGAAAATATTGTTATTAACTATATTATGTTGAACAAGGATAGATTTAGAAAATGTTTCTCCTCCCCCCCTCTTTCTTATTCTCTACGAATTGAAATAAAATTTCACTCGAGAGACTAGATTAGTCAAGAAAAGCCTTCACGATCGATGTGACTTTTCTCTCTCTCTTTCTGTCTGCGACAGCAGCAAAACGACGTAACGTAATAATCGTCAGATGATTTAATTAGCGAGAAAGTCTGAAATTGCGAGACAGCCATCTCAGTAGCACGAACTACTATCGTAGCTGAGAGATCAAGCGGTTAATCGCAGATCGTGGGATACTCGTCGCACAGAAAGAAACGGCGCAATAACACTTTGTAGGGCGACGCGCGAGGACGTTTTTATTAATAACTACTCACAAAATAAAGAAATGAACGCAAGGATGTTGCGTGATCTTTGAAGGTCTCGTCATTTCGTTGATGCGTATTAAATCGCAATATTGTTATATAATCAAAATGTTGAAAAATGTAAAGCAAATTCGATTTGAATTGACATTCCTTGTATACGCATAATTTTTTATCTAATTAGAAATGATAACATAAAGTACAGGCGATAGGAGTCAACGGTTATCAATTAATGTTAAATATGTAAACTTTGACCTTGAACGTTTCCACTCATAGTTTGAGTCTTCATCAGCAATTTTTCTCTCTAATACAACGATTGGATTATTGCACTACAAAATAATATTTCCAACGTTTTTCCTCTCAAAAAATTGAACCGTTAAGGTTCAATGTTGTGAGGTAAGTCACATACTTCACAAAGTTGGAAAGCTAAATGGCAATGAGAACTCAAGCTAAAATTATATAAATGATTAAATTATCGTATGTATAAATTTGAAAATTAATAATCACCACTCATTTCACACAGTCGACGCCTCGACGTTGAACAATAAATACGTCGCATGCAACATTTTGTGCATTGTTTTGTGCACAGTAAGTTAAAAAGTTGAAAATCATCATCAAAATTTTAAAATACTTACTGAGAAAACAATTTGTGTCTTGTTATTTCGACCGTCGGTTGAATAATGATTGCTAAACAAGTAACAGCGGTCAATTTGAAGATAAACAAACTATTGTTTATGACATGTATTATATTACGAACAACCTTACAGTTTATTAAGAATCTCGGTGTAAATTATGATTTAAGACAACGGTATCTTGTTGTAAATTTAGCCCATGGTCTGTCGATGTTATTGTCATATTTCTAAATTATTCAATTAAAGGACTCTATGAAAAACTTATTAATTTTATGTTAGTTTGTAATTTCTTATTATATCTAATTAATTTGAAATCTCTCAAAAATGGCAAAATGTAATAAAATCTTCTTCTGTGTATATAGAGAGAAATTATAATATATAGAGATGGATTGAGATCTTTGAAAAGATGTCAGAACGATCGATAGAATGCAGTTCTGACATTAGCTGCTAACAATAAGTTACAATTAGCACGCGCGGGCGATAATCATTCCGGTATGCAAATCCATGAGATAATGCTGTTTATTTTCGTTTTCGTTCGCTCAAATATCGATGACGATACGATAGCAAACGCGTTCGTAGCGTTCGTGTCATTCTCGCCGCATCCCATTCATATGGAGGCTCGTTTTTCTTTAGATAAGAATAGGAATAATAGAAGCGTTATAAAAAAAATGGGCCTTCTCGTGGATGTCGGGTAAGAAAATAAAAAAGAGCTCTCGTCCGAAAAGTTCCCACACAAAAAAAAAATATTTAGTTGAATTAATTAGAATTCTGGTGGAAAATGAACAATTCAAAATTCTAGTTAAATTTACAAGATTTCTGGTTAAATCTATTAAAATTCTAATTGAAATAACTAATATTCAGTGGATTTAACTAGAAATCTAATAGACCAGAATTCTCTTAATCAGAATTCTGAATCGTTCATTTTCCATCAAAATTTCCAGTTAATTCAATCAAACTTTTTTTCGTGCATCGTCTCACCATTTCCACTTTTTTTTCGTCTACAATGATGGCACGCGTGAAACTTAATATTACGCTCATTCAAACGGAAAATGAGTTGAGGAGAACTCGACATGACGAAGCTGATATATGTCCGTTTCTATCAACGCATTAATTTTAATCTTAGCTCAACTAACCCTTTACTTTTGTCTGGTTCTAAGAATTGTTAGATAAAGATAAAGAGTAATTAAGTTGAATCGAGATTAAATTACAGTTAATCTACATTATTATTAGAAACGTGCATTAATCGATATCTTTATCAATATAAATATAGTGTATCATTGAAAAGATACGACATATTCTTTCATTCTGTACATTATATACAATTTCAACACTATTTCGCGTACGACTTGTATTTAAAAACGGTAAACAACAACAGAAAACCGCTGTGACCTGAACAATATATCTTTGTTTTAAAGTCTATTCTATATCGACTATTCTTTTTCGACACGCAAACGTGTTAAATCATCAATCGACAATCGAACAAGAGCAAGTGGCCAATATTTTTGGAACAATGATATTCGCTATTCGCTGAATATCATTGAAATCACCATATATAGTCCTCCGAGTGTACGATCGAAATAATAAACACGGGTGAAATATTGTATATTTCATCAAACTTGTCGGACTCGTATAGTTTCACTCGCGAAAACTCAAATTTCTTTTCCGTTTACTGATTCTTTGGATAATTCGTTCGATAAAGTTTATTAAACGAATTATCCGGAACTTATAATTATTATCCATACTTATAATTTATCTTAAGATAAACTTGCCAAGTGCAAAATGCTCGTCAGTAAATTTCAGTAAACAGAACATCAAGTCAATTCTAAGCAAAAATGTAAAGTTGTAGTAAAGCAACTACAATGTACCTGTCTTATTTGAAACGATTTAGACATGCTAATGACGTTAAGAGAGATTTCAAGAGAGATTAGCTTACCGAATGTGTTCGAGTTAATCGGAGAACGAATAGAGAATCAACAGAAAACGAATGGAGAATGGAAGATTCGTATCCAACGACGGTACGCACGCGACTGACTTTCAGCTTTCAGCTAAATCCATCATGATGTAAAACACAAGGCATGTAGAGGGAGGCGAAACTGTTTTCTACGCACACACACGCACGCACGCACACATACACACACATAGACGTGCACGTGCGCGCACGAAAAAAATAAACTCTATATATATATATATATACAGGGTAACTGAAATAACGCCCACTAATTATACAGTGCTATTCCTGATAAAAAACCAAGTCGAAAAGATCTCTACGATTTTGCAATTTTCGCAATAATTAACGAGATATTAATTTCTAAAGATTGCCGAATAAACGGATAAAATCGCGATATTTAAGACAATTTTAAGATATCTTTCCGTGTTCTTTGTGAAATATTTTGAAGACTTTTCTTAAAAAACTCTTACAGATATCTTAAAGCTATCTTATACGTCGATTTTGCTCATTGGGTAACTAAAAAAAAATATGGCGGAAATTTCAAAATGATAGAGGACTTTTCGTCTCAGTTTTTTATTAGGAATAACACTATGATTAGTGGGCGTTATCTCAGTTATATCCTGGATATATATATATATATATATATATAATACACAATTTTAAAATATTGGCAACGCGATTCAATATGCGCTCAATGCGAAACAGCCAAGCTAATATAACATCTGAAAGATATAATTGACGATTATGCATAGAAATTCGTTATATCGTATATTAAAAACATTCCTCTCTTTCCTTAACAACAAAATATATTTTTTATTTTAGAATTTCAAAACAAGACGTATATATTGGGTCATCTAAAAAGTATCCGCGGTTTTTTGTCACTAGATGTGTGTTGATGGTCATATATCTAGTGACAAAGTACCGCGGATACTTTTTAGATGATCCAATATTTTATGTTAGTTTTCACAAACACCATTTTTTACACATTCGACATATAGGAAATGTACTGTCTGTCTATGATCTCTCTCTCTCTCTCTCTCTCTCTCTCTCTCTCTCTCTCTCTCTCTCTCTCTTTCAACTAGCATATATTAATTAAAAGGATAACGATAAAATTTTGCAGTTTATTATAGTGTAAAATACATGTTACGATTTTCAAGAACATGTATTTTCCCGCGAATTTAACGAGAAGATAACGAGTCTAGAACTGGGTACGCATAGGTCACATGATAATTAATCCTTGACCCAGTATCTTTACAGTCAGTTGCTACTCCGATCGCATCAAGGTACATACGACGCATAATTTTCTACACACGTCGTACAATGAACAGTAGCAGTAGAGGCTGTAGACACGAGTAAGCTGATTTTCCGGCCAGAAAATCAGTTTACTCTCTACGTTAATGTGGGAAGGATTATCAACTATGATTTCTGTGGTCGATTTCTATGCCTACTCCTTAATCCACTACTGCTACTGCTCATTGTAGACCATAAAGATCATAAAGAACAAGAGCGACTGCATTGGTTGCATTCAGTACTCCAATCGGTCATTAATATGACTACGTTCAACAGACTCAACAGTTGAGTGAGCGCTCACTGCTATTGATGTATTTTTCTAGATATAAAATTCTGATTGGATCATCTAAAAGAATACACCAATAGCGAGCGTTAATTCAACTGTTGAATCCGCTGAATGCGCCCAATGAATTTCTGAACCATAAAAAAATGCTTTCAATAAAATGGCTATTTTTCCGTCTGCTTTTCTGTCTGCTAGAAATTACTAAGAAATATAAAGTTTATAGAAAAACGTTAATTTTTCGATAAAAAGTATAAGTGATGAGGATCGTAGGATTCGTAAAGACTGAAAAAAATTATCAAAATTTTAAAAATACAATATTTTATTCAATGTACTCTAAACATGCCATAAATAAAACTTACAAAATCTCTTAATAAAAAATCATATAAGAGTCATTAATAATTAAATACGCGCGTAATAAGGTAAATTATTTTAATTTTCTTATTGATCTTTCATATATAAAAAGAGATCTTTGTATATAACAATGTATAATAGATATCATATATAGAAAAATATTAGCTACAAAATATTATCTACTATATTAAATTGAAAAAAATTTTATAATATTCAATAATAACAAAAATAAGAACAAGTAATAATTCATTAAAGTCACAATCAAAATCAGAGAAAGAAAGTCATATTTTAACGTTCTTTCACTTTCAACATTATTATTGCATTCGTTATGTGTGTATGCATACACACATACACACACACACACACACACACACACACACACACACACCCCACACCTACGCACGCATACACACACAAAATCTTATTATACAAAGTGATTAAAGTAGATTAAAGTTGTCTCATCTATTATACATTTCCATATAAATAAATGACCAAACTAAAATATCTTATTCTCTGCTTTTAGAAAATAATCTATTCGACATATCTTTAGCTGCAAATTATTCGCAAAACATTTACATCAAGTATAAGTTAACATAAATTAAGAACACAAGATTAAGTGAAACGATTTTCCGTGTCAAAATATTGAGCATATATTCAAGTTAATTATAACACATTGTATTTACATTTTTATTTTTCAAACATTAATAGTCATTTTGTGATTTTAGTTTACATAGTAATATTTTTATTTTACAAACTGAAGAATAATCTAATAGAATTTTATTTCCAATTACAGTAAATTACAATCGATTTAGTAGAGATGAAAATTATCACTCTCGAAAGTTTAAAGAGTATTAAAACAATCATCAATCAGAAATATCCGGGCAATTGAGAGCAATAATAATAATAAATAAGTAGAAGTTGGTGCGTTTGATCTTCACAATAATATATTTAAATTCTTACATAAAATATCGATCGTTAACGTATCAGCTCAACATTCGAGTCATCTTCAGCGATGAAGTAATTACATGTGATGTTGGTTGTACATTATTATGTGATATATTAAATCAAAGAGTGCAGTAAGTAGAGTCTCTCAATTCCAAATTTAAGAGCGTAACTGTCGATCGATATTTTATGTAAGAATTCAAATATTTTATTGTGAAGATCAAACGCACCAAATTCTGCGCTATTATTGCTCTCAATCGCCTGGATATTTTTGATTGATGATTGTTTATTTAGAGAGCTCATTTTATTAATTAATTTGTTTTAAAGAATACTAATTCACTTCGCTCTTCTTTATGGTTACGTATATTCAACGATATTAGTCAGTACTTGAATATACGAAACGAATTATTATTTCGACACCTAATTATGACATAGGTATTATAAAATGTTGTGTTGTAAAATTAAAGTTTTAGACTCTATCATTAAATTTTTTATAAACCTTATGATGGTGTCTTTTCCTTTGTCTTTCTCTCTCTTTCCTCCCCCCCCCCATCTTCCTCTCTTCTGTTTTCTCCTTCTCCAACTTTCATTTAATTTGATAGAAAACTAATATGTCAATGTATCATGATTAAGAAATGGAAGCACGGCATATACATGGAAGCTTGTATATCATTATCACGCTTATACGATTGTAGCACAATAACGATCCAAAAATACATTCAATAGTGGATCTATTGAATCGACAATAGCTAAAATTTTGAAACTATACGCCAAATACTTTCTTCGTACAGAACAATCATCGCATGAAATTGTTTCTTTTTCTAGCAAGGGACATCACACAACTGTCCGGCACCGATTTGATTCTCCGTGCAATATGTTGTTAAACACAAAAATCTAAGAGACACATATTTTTTATATGTGCGCTAACTCATGTTTAAGTGGTGAAATGTAAAAAGTCCCTTTAAAAAAAAAACCGATATTTCTATTTCGAATCGAATACTGTCGGAAGTATAAAAGATGGAAAAAATTTTTTAAACAAAAGTTGTACTTGGTTTCAAGAGTACTTCAATGTTGTGAAGAAGCAAATTTAAAAAAATTTTTTTGTTTAAACATGAGTTAGCGCACGTATAAAAAAATACGTGTCTCTTAGATTTTTGTGCTTAACAACATATTCACCGAGAATCAAATCGGTGCCGGACAGTTGTGTGACTTCCCTTGTAAGAATAATTGTTACAATTTGCTTATTTACAAGATTTTACAAGAAATTGGAGGAAAGACTTAAGTTCTTATATGATAATTTACATGTAAATGATTTAACTATATTGCCCGATAATCAAGTTGGAGTAATATATAATACAAACGAGCGAAATTTTCAAGCGAGATTCCACGAACGTTTCGGTGTTTCGCGATCAAAATTCGTATTAAAAAAATTAGTGTCTATCTACATCATTATATCACAAAATGCGCGTGAAGAGTCGCATCATTTCACCTGCCTTCATCCGAATGCTCGGCCAACTGTCTACGATGAGATTGTACATTCTGATGAGATTGTACATTCGAATTTTGCCTAGTTTGCACATTTGCATCATCTTCAACGTCATTTCTGCCGTTTTCTTCAACAAAGGCTATGTCTCTGCTTTGGACGTTTTCAACTTTATACAGTACGTCGTGGCAAAGAGGGCATCGGTCTTGAACATATAACCATTTCCGCAAGCATACACCGTGGAAATAATGATTGCATTGAGTGATCTTGGCGCTTTGCATTTCCTGATAACAAATCGCACAAACATCGTTTAACTGTTCAAGTTGTTCAGCTTTTGCTTCCGGTAAAGAATTAATCTTATTCACAGCCGTCCGACGTTTCATAAAAACGCTCCATCCAGCCTTTGCTTCGCACCAGATATTAAAATAAGCGTGTATACACATCATGACGGCACGAATAGCTCCACCAGACTCGAAGATCAATATCCAGAAACCGTTAAAAAACAATATAATGCCGAAAGCAAATTCCACAGTATTGCCAAATGATCTTATTATGTATACGCAATCATCAAATTGTTCCCAGAATTCACTTCTGTATGCGTCGATTAGAAACAACGAATAAATTGCTAGGGAGACCAATACTTTGATTATTACCTCAATGCTAAAGACCGACACAGCCAATAGCCATGTACTCACAGTGAAATGGGACCAGAGGAATACGAGTAACGAAACCGGGAAGAATATTA